TCACGTCCTTACCTAACAGAAGGGGTGGAGCTGGGGAAAAACCGGAGGGTAGGAAGTCCGAAGCCCTTCGTTTTCTTTCAGGGCGTCCTAAGAAGGACTTTTTTTTTATAGCGCGGAGGCCACCTGGCCGGCCTTCCCGGTCTCCAGCTCGCCCTTCCTCCGCGGGACAGCCACTCTCTTCTCCTTGTAACCACGGTTCTCTCAACCAGCAGCGAAGCAGGAACGAAGCACAGAGGCGGGCTGGATGCAAACGTGGTCGGCTTGTTTGCGGTTTAGTGGGTCGGTTCACATCATTCACAAGACCTTGAACGGGGGTGGGGGTGGGGGTGGGGTGCTCATCAACCACGGTTGCTGGCTTGGCTTCATCCATGATGCTTAAAGAAGCAAGCCATGGGATGGCTTCATGATAGTCTGGTTTGGAGAAGAAGCTAACCCAGGGGTTGGGTTTTCACAACACATTCAGTAGAAGTTGCTGCTCAGTTGCAGTTTTAAGCCACCCTGGGAGGTTTGGCAAACTTGGCCATTGCAGACGGGATGGGGCAGGTCAGACCTTGCTGTTCACACAGCAAGCTTAGCCTAGCTATGGACTCAACCCATTTTCTGGGTTTGCAGAAATAGAAGGGAGGATACCCAACCTGCTAACCTCCCCAGCAACTTTAAGCAAGCTTAAAGCTGCTTGCTTTGGGGCTGTTAGATACACAGGAGCTTTGTCAGATGAAAAAGTTGGCACATGATATGCACAGGAGTGCTATCCTATGATAAAAGTTGGCACCACTACCAACATTTGATTGTATTGCTCTGGAAATTACTAGAAGTAATGGCCTAATTTCATTAAGCTCTCCCGACAGGCTTAATTCCACTGCCAACCAGTAGGATGTGTTTTAAAAGCTATAACTTTCTTCATGTTCTCGGTGTGGCTCTTCTACCCTTCAACACTTTGCAGTGGGCTGAAAAGTCAACAGGTGCTTTCCTGGAGGGTTGGATCAGGGAAAATAGCTAGGAGATACTTCATCTGTTGAACTCCTGCCCAAGTTTAAAACAAGGCAAATGCAGCTGCTAGCAGAGGGTATCAAGAAGTCAAGATAGGGGCCGCAGCCGCATCATCAAAGCTCAGCACCTTTTCATACATGCCTGATGAAAATAAAAAGGGGTAGGACTCCAAAAGCATGGCCATGGTTGCCATTTTGAGACACACAACACACACACACACACACATGGATCTCCCTGGCTGTTAAGTATTTCATGGACCTGGTCAAGCCTGTTAAATCAATGTTTTTCGCCCTTGGCAACTTTAAGATGTATGGACTTCAACTCCCAGAATTCCCCAGCCAGTATGCTGGCTGGGGAATTCCGGGAGTTGAAGTCCACCGATCTTAAAGTTGCCAAGTTTGAAAAACACTGTTCAATGAAGCCTGTGAATAGTCCCTAGTGATGGCCTTTGACTTCCCCTCCTCAGCCTGGGGCCTGCTTGAGCATCATGCACAGCCAGAAGCCCTTGCATTGGGCATTATTTTCATGGCCCTCCCAAAGTTGCTCCCATTGTAATTGCTTATGTTACAAAGGACTGTATTACTTACACTATATCATATTAATTATATATAATGGGTTGGTGTAGTGGTGAACTAAGTGCTGGTCTAAGAGTAGGGACTCCAAGGTTCTTGTCTTCTTCAGTCCTCAATAGGTCATTCTCTCTCAGTCCAATCTACCTTACAGGGTTGTTGTGGGGGAAACAACAGATCTTGTATGATGTATAAGTGCATACCATTTTTAAAAACACCCCTAATATTCAACAGTGTATAAGTGTCTTTCTGGCTCCATCCACTCTGAGGAGAGCAGGATGGCCTTCCACCCAAAAAGCTGCCTCACCCCTAGGAGAGAGCTTCTAGAAATGCCCACCAGATACTCCCATCACCTTAAACAGGTAGCATTGCTGGCTGGAGCAGCTGGGAACCAGAATCCCAAAACCTTCCCTACCCCGGACAACCTTTGTGCATGGTGGTTTGAAAGCTGTCTCCCCACAAAGCAACCACTGAAGGTAAACTGAGTTGGGCTCCCATGTTAATTATATTATTATTTTGGTGCCTTTGAGTCAGTCATGACTGCTGGTGATTATGCAGACAAGTCCCTGCAGTTTTCTTGGCAACATTTTCAGAAGCATCTTGCCCTTCCCTTCTTCCTAGAGCAGTGTTTCTCAACCTTGGCAACTTTAAGACGTGTGGCCTTTAACTTCCAGAATCCCCCATCCAGCATGTTTTAAAGTTGCCAAGGTTGAGAAACGCTGTCCTAGAAGGACTGGCCCAACATCACCCAGTGCCTAAGGCAGGACTAGAACTCACATCTCCCAGTTTCTAGCCTGGTGCCTTTAACTACCACACCAAGCCAGCTCTCTCTGTATTCCAAATTTGCCCTAAATCCTTTGAAGGACTTGACCCTCCATGTAGTGAATCATCTGGCTGGTTCAGATGAATTACTTAAATGCAAAGATCCTGGAATTAGTCTTGAAATCAAAGGTGTGTCTTCCCTCCCCACCCCCCCAGCTTTCAAGCAGCCCTCACACTTATTGTCTCCTCTAGCACTTTGGGGAGTGGGGATCCATTTAAGGGGATCTGACCTTTTACTACAGTGACCATACAGTCCTTATTTCAGAAAGCTGTCCTTTAGATTGATTTAATTTCATTATTGGCTGTCTTGGTTTGGCTTTTGAATGTTCCTTTGAAAAGCAAAGTTATAAACATCAATGATTAGAGTTTTTTTAAATCCTTATGAACCTCTTTCAGATTTGCCCCTTTTTCAGGTTGTTTGTTATTTTTTCTAAGAAAAGATGGTCACTGCATCTTTTACATATGCAAAGAAGAAACGTCAGCCATGGATTTAGTAGCTGTTAAGATAAGGAACCGCTGAATTGCAGGGATGATACAGATAAAGGGATTAAGAACGTGCATTTCCTGCTGGGAGATGGGATCAGCCCAGGGTCCTTTCAGCCCCTCCTGGCAGTGGGAAACTGCCCACTGCTTTTTGCATTGTCTTCCTGATTGTTCTTTTTTTCTTTTACCTTTTCTTTAATTTTCCTTTGCTTTTTCCCAGCACTGACTTATCCATGAGGCACCACAGGCACAGTGCCCAAGGCCCATGAAAACCTTTTAATTTTTTTTTTTTAAGTCAGAAAGTATAAAAAGTAGAAGTTATTTATTTCCATGCCTTTGAATAAAGATGTATATATTTTCATGCCTTTTCATAAAACAAGCAGGCAAGACACAACATCTGAACATCGAACCGCTGATCTTTCTTGTAACCTGTAGGCGTAGCGCAAATACTAACGTTTAGTCACTTGGATAAGTGATAGGCATCATATTGATTTTATAAAACAATACATATATTATTTAACCGCTTTGCATGTCTCTGTGAACATATGAATATTAAAAAGCATATGAAATATAATTGTTAATACTATTCTTTTTATGGAAGGAGGGGCCCACAAAAGCAAAAATGCCTAAGGGCCACAAAAGTCACAACGTGGCCCTGCTTTTCCCATTTCCCTAGAAGTGAGTTGAAGGAAAGTCAATTTATCCCACCGCAACAGCTCTGGTGTTCATTGTGACTGAAAAATATGACTCTTTTGTTTCAAAGACGGAAACTAGTTTTGTGCAAGAGCTTCTCCATGTGTAGAGCCCAAGATAGAAATCCTGCTCAAAGAGGCACCTTTGAGACATCTTTCCAACCTTGGGTCCTAAAACCTTGGAAAACTGAGGTTTAACTATGGTGATCACATTTTCTTGGAAAAAATAAAGGACAAACCTGGAAAAGGGGCAAATCTGAAAGAGGATAAAAACAAAGTTTTACGTTTATAACTTTGCTTTACAAAGGGAAATTCAAGAGCCAGACTGAGAAAAACGTTACAAAAGCCCATCTCCTGATAAAAATATCTAAACATCAAAAAGTGTATGTCCATTTATTTAACAAAGACAATTCCATTTCTGTCTTTTTCACCTGAATGGGAAAGACCGTGCATCAGGTAGTACCGTTTGTAGGGCAGAAGTTAAAGGAATAAAAGAAAGGGCAAAAGTGCGTTTTTGAAAAATGAATAAATCTCAAGGACAGCTTCGGGGAATAAAAGGGCTGAAACTGGCCTCTGTAATAAAGGAATGGGGGTCGCTGTGGGTTGGACGAAGAGAGTTTGCTTCTGCAAAAGAGAAAAAAGGACGCCATATACCTCTTTTGCACCCCGCTCCCAAGCCCGCATTTAGCCCTGGCGGCGTGCTCGTGTCTTTAGGTCCCAGCGTAACAATCGCAGGGTCTTCCGCGGCGGGGCATCCGCGCACGCGTAGCCGCAGTGCCCCCTATCGCCTGCCCTGCAGCGCGCTCCGGGTCCTTGGAAATTCCCACGCGGCCAGGAATTCCTTATATGGCGAGTGACGTGTCTGGCGCGCGAGACGGGGGCGGGGACTCCCTTTGCCAGCTGCTG